AGACAGACACATCCCTCCCAAGTGCAGGATCAGTTCCAGAGCTGGTTGTCTCCAAAACCCTATTGGAAGGAGACAAATCCCAAATCATCGGCATGAGAACAGCGTGTGGAGGAAGCTTTTAGGCTGTGGGTACACAGGGACAGGAAGGGGCACTCGCGTCCTGCCTAGGACATGCTGCCTGCCAAGCCCTTCCTCATTTCTCTGAGGAGGGTGGTGAGCTGAGCAGCAGCCTCCCACTGTAGGCACAGGGCTCCTGGGCTGCTTCTCGTTCCTGGGTGCCCTGTCCCATCACCCAGCTTAGACAGATGGACGGACCTGCCTGGTTGAGGTTTCCAGAGTGACTGAGAGCAAGTGTCCATGCTACTGGTGCGGCCATGTTCAACTCTCCGGGTAGCAGTGGGCAGGTATTTGGTAGAGATGCATCTGAAAGCCTCCTAGGACATGTTCTGGGGCATCCCAGAAGGACATCGCCCTTGTGATTTATTTACGGAAAATTCCTGGACTAAATAGTGAATTCCTTCTTTAGCTGCCTGCATAGAGATATTTTGTGGTCTAGTTTGGTCTCCTGGGGACAGTCAGAGTGGGGGAAGGAGTGGGACGACCCCTGAACTGAAGCCACAAGCTCCCCAGGGCTGCACTGCACATGCTCACCCCACTCTCACCTGCGTTCGGGGGAGGTAGGATGCTGGGGAGATGAGGCAGTGGGTACCCTTAGGAACCTGGTCTGGGCTTAGGTGCTGGGGTTGCCTGGAGAAATGCTCCTGCTGCGGTGCAAGCAGGTGCCGTGCCTTCCTCCCTAGCTGCCTCTGCGGAGCCGCGGCCAGCGCCTGTCTGCTGCAATGCAGAGTGAGAGGGCTGGGCGGGAAGGCTCTGCTGCTTCCAGCCTGGGTCTCTGTCCCAGGGCTTTGAGCACCTCCTGAACGCACAGGGGGAGCGTTTGGCACCGGGGGAGCCGTGACTGTCAGTATTTCTGGGAGCTGTGATTTATTTGCCTGGGCTAGCAATGTGGAAATGCAGCGCGGTGGTGGGAGCCAAGTGCAGAGGTCTGCCACGGGGGAGAGTTGTAGGAGAGGAGAGGGGTGACATACAGCTGCAGGCTTTCATGAGGAGTGAAGGATTCCCCGCTGGGGGCCTGGTGCTCAGACAGCTTTCCCGGCACGCCGCTTCTCTGCATCACCCACTCACCACCTTGGTGGCTCGGAGCCCAGGCCAGATCCTGCCTGCAGCGGTGGAGAGCTGGCTGATGGGTTGTACTGGACTAGGAGAGTGGGCAAGGCAAGTCATATCAAACTGCTTCAAAAAGCATCTTCCAAGGCTCGCCGGGTGCACAGTGGTCTGGCGTCAGCAGGAAACATGGGCTGGGAAACAGCTGGCAAGCAGCAATTGGGGCTCCATGATGGAGCAAGCAAGGGGCTAGGAAAGGTAGCCGGTGCCCATATACATGTTGCCCCGGGGACAATGGTCAGCGCTGCCGGCAGGCCAGGAGAAGCCTCTGGTGATGGCCCCAGTGCCAGTGAGACTACCTCTCCCCCTCCCAGCCCTGACAACTGGAGAAACACCTCCAAAGCAGACAGGGTGGTAATTTCCTCTCCTTTATCTGCTAACCCACAAAGTTAAGTGAACTATAGCTAAACAAACCAAATTAAAACCAAGTGGGTTAATATCAACCTAGGATTACCCTTGTTATCAAGTAGACGGAACTGTGTCAAATAAACCAACAATTCTTTATAAGCTTTATCTAATTACCCAGGAGGCAGCTGCCTTGTAGAGCTCCTGGCCTCAGACTCGGAGGGCATTCCCAGCTCCAGGCCAAACAATTTATTTACTGATATTGCAGCCAAATGCTGGGCACCCATCAGGAGATCCGAGCCCTGCCAGGCTGAAGGGATATTGAGATGAACTCTGATCCTGGATGTAGCACTGGAGGAGATGGCTGGGCAGATAGGAAATCCTTTGGCAAGCAAAGGTGTGATGCTGAGGCAGTCTCTGGTCTTCTGGTAGGAGCTGGATAAGGGGGAGAGTCTTCCCAAAGGCATCTTTCTGTGGGATGGTGGTTGTGATGGGGATGGGTTCGTAGCTCAACTGGCAAGGACTGGGGGAGGCAAGCCCCGGGGGGACGCTCCTTGTGCATCCCTTGGGAGGATGTTGTCCGTGTCCACATGATGGGCTGCCACAGGACAGAGGAGGACAGGACTCCACCAAGCACACTGGCAGGACAGGCTGGAGCTACCAGAAGCCACAAGGCATCATTTCTGCATGGGAAACTGGAATCTACCTCATACCCTCGGACTCCACTTCCTCCTCCTGCCTTTGCTCCTTCCCCAGTGAGAAACTGCAGACTCTCTTCCCTCTGTAATCCCCCCATGCAAAGGAGCCAAGGCCCTTCGGGGAAGTTGACAGCAAATTTGAGTGCAGAGACGGTGGTGGTTCAGGTCCACACTGAGCTGCTGCTGTGGGTGGCTGAGGGCTGGGTGGACCTTAGGGCTGTGCTGGTTTGGGCTCGCCCCATCTCACCTGCAGGCAAAATCCTGAACAAGTCACAGTGTGGAGCAGTGGGGATGGATAATACCAGCTCCTGAAGGGCGTATTGTCAGAGGAGGTCACAGGTTAGATGGCCAGCCATATCTGTGTAGACTGGGCTTTGGACTGATGGAGGCTTGAACCGTGTGGCAACACCACAGAGGGGTTTGAGGGTTATTTTTTTTTGTCAGCACTGGGGCAGGAGGCAGGGGGGATTTCCAGGGAAGTCAGGGTCTGTACAAGGTTTGTAATGGGCACCACTGCACTGAGCCCGAGTTGGAGACACTGGGGTGGAGAACCTGGGGCTGGCAGAGGGACTGTGCTCCAGCGGCCCGTCCCCTGCACTGGCAGTTATTTGGGATATATCCCATTTGGATTTATTTGGCTTTTGGGCAAACTGTTCTTCTTTTCTCTGCTAGACCAAGCAGTCCTCAGCATCTTACCTGGGGAAAGTGAGTCCTTTGGGGGAGTGTTGTTAAAGCAAGCTGCCTTCCAGCCTGCTCTGGAGCCAGACAGACCAAACTCCACCTTCTTTTGGGATTGGGGCTGGCTCACCTTGTGCCTTCACTCTTCCCACATGTTTTTAATCTGGCCACATCTGATCTTGCAGGAGGAGGCACAGAGGAGCCTTTTGGGGTGTTCTGAAGGATTTCTGTGCTCCCCAGAGCCAGGATGCAGTGCCCTGGGCTCCCTGCTTTGGGATGGGGAATTCAGGCTGGGAATATGATATTTCTTCACCCCTGGCAAATCCGCCTCCAGCTCCAGAAAGGACGGAAGTCCCAGATTACCGAGTGCTGGAATGTGGGCACATTCTCTTTTTTGTCCCATTCTCTCCCCTTCTCTCTCCCTGAAGCCTCCTCCACAGACCATGCCCAGAAAGAGGACCTGCTCAGAGGGACCCTCCCCTGACCCAGTACCGCCAGCCCGCGCAGTGCAGCCCCCGCTTCAGGGAGGGACTGAGGCACCGGGTGCCCTGGGGGTCTCTGCAGTCTCTGGCAGCAAAGGGGACTTACTGGGTGCCGGAGCCCTCGAGCTGCCAGACGCTGCCTGGCGCTGCTTTGTGCTCCCCACCGACATCGACTGAATACATGAATTTCCCCTCCGCTTCTTTCTGACGCATTTCTGTCCTTCCCTCTCTGAGGAGCTGCGAGGGTTGTTAGCTTGGACTGCCCCAGCCCAGCAGATGCTGGTCCCCATGGCACCTCCTTTCCTTAGTGGAAGAGACCCTTCCTGGGTCCGTTTGGTCCCACCTTTCTGTCGAGGATTCGTACAGCCAGAGCATCCACAGCCAGCCAGGGTGCAGACTGCAGCCGAGCTCTGCAGAGCTGAGCCATCTTTCATCTGACATTTGTATTTGTCCTGGCAATCCTTTGAGCCTCTCATTTGGTTTTAGCCTTGAATATGTTTTATGTGCAAAATAACTCACTGTGTGTGTGTCAGAGCCATCGGCACAGCGTGCCTCTACTCAGTCCTTAGTTTAACTGGCCAGTGGCTGCAAGCTGGGTCCCACGGGCTGTCTCTCCTTGCACTGTGGGGCTGCAGGGGCAGGAGGGGTCATGTCCATCCCTGCTCCCACGAGGAGTTTGCAGAGCCCCAGCCCATCCTGGGCTCTACCTGTTTGACCCTTCCCACCCAGCATCCAGGTACTTGGGACCAAAGCTGGATCGCGATCAGTTAATGCCCCCTTCATAAATTCCTGCCTCGTGCGTCACCGCTGTGTTTGTGAAGGGCTCGGTGGACACCTCAGGAGATGGGCAGGTCGGGATCAAAGCTGGAATCTGAGGGAGATAGTGTGGATGATGCCCCATGCCTTGCAAAGTGAGTGAGCCAGAGCAACCTTCGCCAAGCGGGGCACGTCTCTAGGGCCACGATGCTCCGTCTCAGCCCCCAAGACACGGTGGCGGGGACGTGCCAAGTACCTTTCCCGTTAATGTCCCCCCCCATGCTGCTCTGGCACTTTACTCCCAGCTGCAAACCTCTGGGTGTGATTGCCACTGCGGTGCTGGGAGAAGCAGTAAAAGCTGAACCCTGGGGGGACAATAAAGCCAGAGGAGAGGAGATAAGCGGGGATCAAACACAGCGCGGCAGCCACCCCACGCTGGACTCTCAAAGGTCCCTTTGTTCCCGCTGCCTCCTGATTCAGCGCCGCGCTGCCTTCAAGGGCT